CCCCTGTCCTTTCTCTTCCTCCCGTCCTGGATCCTGAGTGCATTCCAGGGGAACGTGGAAGGATCAAGGGGGTCAGTTGGCCAGCAGACGTCTCGTGGTAAAGGCACTCTCTGGGCACTAGGGGAAGAGGCACATCCCTTACCTTTCCCCTTGCTGCTGGTTGGTGCTTTCTGGGTTGGGGCTTTGCCCCTTGCCATGCCCATCAAAGCATCAGCCAGGGCAAGAACAACAGGATCTGCGGCAGATGAGGAAACAGTCCCAGATGGAGGGGTCCCACCCTGGGATGCTGCATCATCATCTGAACTAGAAGCTGCAACAGCAAACAGGGCACCCTTTCTCCTTCTTCGCCCCTTTGAGGAGGGTCCCTTCCTTCCTTCACAAGGTGCTTCCTGGACATGGAGTTTGGACTCTAAGTCCAGGGCTGCTCTGCCAAAGGACCGCCAGTCCTTGTGGCCCTGAGAGAACAATGCAAGTTGGAATTGCTTAGGCGCTGCCCTGAGGAAATGAATGAGCAGATCCTGCTCACTCATCTCCAAACCAGGAGTCGATGTCAGACTCTCAAAGGTGGAGTACAGTTTGGACAAGGAGCCGTCGAACATTTTTTGACTCAGGCGCAAAATTTTAACCGCTGCTTTTCTGGCCTGCTCCTTGTCTGCAAACCGGTCCTGCAGTGCCTGCAGAAATCCAGCCACCCCCAACCTCTGCGCCCAATCAGACATCTCCATACCTTGCTTGCTAGAGGTAGAGGTGCACCATTTCAGTGCAGTCCTCTCCAGACGAGCAAGGATGGCTGACACCTTCACATCCTCATCACATTTGAACCCACTCAGGTAGGTTCGTTGTGCTGTGGCCCAATCTGCAACATCCACCTTAGGGTCCTCGGCAGAGAACATGGGTGGAGGGGTCAGCTTGGGCCGCTGCTGATCAAATGAAACTGAGGGTTGTGAGGCAGCTGTTGACTGGATTGTGGGGGCTGCTGGGGTCCTGCCTTGGGACCCCCAGGAGATGAAGGAACGGTCAGGGTAGGTGGGATCTGCAGATGAGCAAAGATCTGATCCAACTTTGAAGAGATGTCATCCAACTTTTTGGAAAAAGTTGAGTGACTGCTCTCCAAACTGGTGATCCTCTCATCCCAGTTAGTAAAATAGGACCGGTGAATATCATTCTGCAAGAGGATGAACTCAACCATATCGTTATTGTACTGATTGGATGTGCCACTCACCCCGATCTTCTCAATGTCTGCCACAAGAAGTTTTCTTCTAGCTTCCTTCTGAGTTGCTTCCTTTTTTCTTTTCAGCTCGGCCTTCAGAGCCTCAACTGCTTGTGCTTGTTTACGAAGTTTTTCCTCCTCAGCACGCAGTTCGGCCTCTAAAGGGTCAATAGGAAGTTGAGACTTCACCTCAGAAGCCTCTCACTTCTCTGTGTTAGGCATTCTGAATTACCCACAATACAGATAAAATAAAATAAAATAAACAATCAGAAGACAAACAGGAGGTAACAGGAATTCAGTTTTCTCTTCAGTACTCACTCAATTCCTGACACCTGCCTGGAGAGAGAAAGTTGGTTAGTCAGGAAGTGAGTGCTCAGTCTCTGCAGACCACTCGAGGGTCAGGGTCAGTTTAGAGTAAACTCAGCAAAAATCAATTTCACGATTTTCCAATCACTGCCCTGACACAACGATTGCATACAATAATTGCATACAATAATTGCAAATCTTGCACCAATAACTTGCAGGATACAGTCCTGAACTGATTAGTGTTGATTAGCAATTAGACAGAGTGACTAATTAGGGATAGGCAGGTGTCCACTGATGACCAAGGTGCAGCGATTTACAGGTAATCCTATTTTTAGACCTACCCTACAGACTTCACCACTGTATGACCCTGTATGTCATACCCAGGGTATGGCGAATTACAAAAATCACTGTAACCGACTCAACACCCCAAATCTGATCATGCGATTTCACACATAGGCTGTACACTGAATTGCGATTTACCAGGGACTGACAAAATTGAATTCTGACGGACAAAATTGAAGTTATGACCGACCCTAGTCTAGCCAAGCTTCAGCTATGGCAGCGCAGAATTCAAGTTTGCTTTATCACTGACAACAGGGCCCTGAACAACTCAATTCACAGTACAGGATGAATCGCAATATTGTAAAGCAGTCCCAGATGAAAGTTGAGTCAGGATGGAGGTCAAACAGGGTTAGTAGAAGTCAAAAAAGATAGGTAGGGGAATTTGGATATGGTTATCCCACAGTCTGAATTTCGATTTTCAACTATAAACTGACTGATAGACCATATTTTGTTATTCTAAAAATAAACCCAGAATCGCCACACAGAGTAGAGTAAGGAACACACTTACTTCAGGGTCATCTCTGAAGAAGATGAATAAAACTCTGGCTATGGCTGTTTGCTCAACCCCATTTCGCCAGTTTCATCCCTTGATCATTCCCAGTGTTCCCACATACCAAACTTCCTGAAACTTGGTGATCCAGTAGATTACCCTAAGGCGCTTCACCCTCAACTGACAGATTCACTGAATTTGGACTCCCAAATGCTGATAACTGAATAACTCAGTGCAGCGCCACATCACCGTGTACTGCGCTGCCTGGAAATTGGGGATCCTAACCCAATTCCAAAATCGCAAGCTCTTAGGATCACTTCCTTGCAAATCGCCAGATTCCAGATGAGTCGCCAGGCTAAAAATAGCCTCCTCAGAGCCTCCCAGGCCTCTGAGCATCAATCGCCAACCACTCCTGCTTAACCCTAGCCAAGAGTGAGTCACCCTCTGTCCAATTCTTCTCGCCACACACTCACCACCACCAACCTCACTGACAACAACCCTGAAGATGATGAACCGCCATGAAACTCAACTCCAGTATCTCGCCAGATGATGATGGTTGCTCCAACTCATCAATCGCTCCAGTGTCTGGATCCACTCGCTCCGATACCAACTGTTATGATTCTGGTTGTTTGTTGTCTGAAGACCAACACTCACTCACATAGACTTCCAAGTATGCCCATATGTACACAAAAGGAAGGGGAGAGGATAGGAGTATCACACCGCACAGGGAGAGATAAACACAGCGGAAGACTTGACCATGCGATATGACAGGGTACACTGAAAGTGCAATTCACTCCACTCAATCCTCACAACCAGTCATAAAGGAAAGCCAAGTAGATCACATCCAAGAAACAATGAAGCAATGATAGTCCAAACCCAGTATCAACACTGTTTATGAAACTCAGAGTCTCGAATTGTCAAAATAACCCCAGAGCTATGGTGCGCTGCTAAAAAATGAGCAGCGCTTCACTCCCCAACCCTGAGTAACTGCCCAAACTACCCCTGAGTCCCTGAAACATCAAGGACCACCCAGATACTGCCTCCAGAGGAAAGCGCCACCCTGAAACAGGTCCCTGAGGCCAAGCGCCTCTCAAAAGATGAAGAAGAAGACCGGCACCACAGTGTCTGATGATGATGAAGTGTCGGATGACTTCCCGGGTGGAAGTCTGCAGCAACGCCACCTCTCCTGACAAGATGATCTCTGAGGAAGAAGCTGCAGCTATGGCTGCAGCGCCGCT